TGCAGTGTGAAAATCAGCCTTCAGGATCTTTTGTTTTGTTTTGTTTTGTTTTGGAGACAGGGTCTTGTGCTGTTGCCCAGGCTGGAGTGCAGTGGTGCGATCACCTCTCACTGCAGCATCGACCTCCCCAGGCTCAGGTGATCCTCCCTCCTTAGCCTCCCAAGTCTCTGGGACTACAGGCATGCACCAACATGCCCTGCTAATTATGTATTTTTTGTAGAGATGGGGTCTTGCCATGTTGCCCAGGCTGGTTTCCAACTCCTAGGCTTAAGTGGTCTACCTGCCTTGGCCTCCCAAGGTGCTGGGATTACAGGCATGTGCCTGGCCAAGGGACTGTGTATTTAGAAGTTTCCATCACAGCCCTGCCCTGAGAGGCTGAGCCTTCTCCCGGCCTCAGCTTCCCCAACTCTAAAAAGCTTATTATGAGCATGTGTGTGTGTACGTGTGTGTGTTTTTCTTTCAATTCTAAAACATTTCTTGTTTTGATGAACAATCAAGATTAAGGCAAATAATTAATGAATGTAATTATGTGGTTGGTTCTCTTAAGAAAATGATTAATTCTATTTCAAATTTTACGTGGGAAAGGAGCAGTTCCCCCTGAGTCCCATAACCTGGGCCTCAGGGAATCACTTCAGTAATTTCTACAATATGAGAAATCATTACAAGACAGAGGCAGGTTGCAATGCTTTCCTGTTCTGATGAGAGAAAGACTTCTCCGATTTTCCAAACGCAAGTGCCCACTATCAGCATGGATGAGGGGACGGAGGCCCGGCTCGACCCAGCGCACAGCTTCTGTGCCAGGAGCAGACCTCCTCCTCCAGGACCCAACTCCGGGGCCTCCCAACAACCTCCAAAGTTTGCACAGTGACAGAATCTGAAGCCATAATATTATCTGTGAATGTGAACACGGCAAAAACCAATCCTGAATTTAATCAAAACGTTATGCTTCCAGCATCACCCAGCTTCATGTAAACATACTGGTTTCTGACCCTGCACATTTTCACACAGGTAAACCGCTATCCAAGTGAACAGCACCACCAACCAAGCCTGTGCAGCACACACAGGCGGGCTCTCCCACACCAGCTATGCAAAGAGGAAGCCTGGATCCAAACAAAGGGGCCGCGTGGATTCTCACAGCCCATGACTTTTCTTTTTCCTGTCGTAAAACAAAACCCAAGGTACCCACAGAAAATCAAGTTCCTTGGTGAGGCCACACCTCAACTTTTAAAAGGATCTATGTGCCTTTTCCTCTTCCAAATCACACTCTCCTGCACCCCAGCCAGCTTTGTCCTCCTCCTCCAGCCCCCTTCCCGCCCCCTCGTCTGTGCTGGGTTAATTGCTTTGTGATTAATGTTTGGCCAGCCAGGCCTTCAGTTGCTGGTTTCTGATTAATGGTCTAGGGGCTGCAGGACGCACAGAGCTCTCAGGCACTCACAGGTTATTTATTACGTCCTCAGGTCCCCTGTGCGTCTGCAGGACTCCACCATTCAGGATTTACTCCCTGCCTGTAACCCTGACCACTGTCCCTAACCCCGACTGCTGTCCCTAACTTGGGGTTTGTATGACTGTGCTTTACATTAACTCTTTCTCAGGGTTAGACTTTGTGCTCACAGTCACAAAATATATGCGGCCAGGAAGGAGGAGAGTCCACTGCAAGGCCAGCCCCAGAGTGCGATCTCCACGCATGTCCACGATTGGACTGACTCACTCCACAGCAGCAAGCGAGCCCTGGGTGGCCTCCGTGCTCTACTTCCCTCTGCAAGCGTTCAGGCTAACTCCAGGCGGCCCTCTGCAAGCATTCAGGCTAACTCCAGGCGGCCCTCTGCAAGCGTTCAGGCTAACTCCAGGCAACCTTGGCCAAAGTGTGCTCTGGGGGCATCTGTGCCAAACCCCTGGGCCTGGGGAAGGGGCAGGAGGGCCTGGTATAAAGGCGCTCATACCAAGCCTCTCCAGGCAGTGGGATCAGCTGGGCATACCTGCAGAACCCAGGCTCCAGGCCCCACTCATTTCCTGAGACCCTACCGGGTAAGCCTGGAAACCTGCATTTTAACAAGCTTCCCAGGGACCACAAAAGTTCCTTATGACAACAAAAAGTTTGAGGACTTCTATTCCAGGGGGTGCTGTTAAAAAAAAAAAATAGGCTAATCCCTTTCTTTGAAATGCATTCTTTATGCACTGCAAGAGAATGACCTGATTTCCACGTGCTGTGCCTTTTCCGTGTGCAAGTCAATAGTCTAGCCATCGCCACACCTCTCCGGCACATGCGGAGGATCAGCATGAAAAAGGCCTTACTGTTCAGGATACGGAGATGGGATCTGAAACACCTCCTTTCTATCCCTGAGAGCTAGAACGCACAAAGGAAACGTTCTATGCCTGAATTCCAAGGCTATGCCCTCCATTCTGGAGAGAGGTAAATGCTATTACCTAAGTTTAAAAGAGGCCTGTCAATCAACAGCGAAGGGGTCCCCGGTTCACAGACTGGACTCATGGATTTAAAAGCACTACCGAAGCCTTGCAGGTTTCTGGGGATGGCTGGCCCTAATGCGTGGCCTTGAGCAAGTTCTCACCCTGCCTCCCTTGGTTCCCCTGTGTGTTCACAAAGCAAGCACAGTCGGCCCAAGGAAAATGCCGGGCATCAAGTTTATGCTGCAGAATCAGACGTACAGCTTGCTCCTGCAGCATGGAATGTGGGAAGCTGCCAGGGAAAAGGTATCGTTGCAAGCTGCCACTTTTAGAACAAGTCACGACCAGCAATGTCAAGACGGGGAAATTCTTCCGGATAAGATTTCATTGCAGACTCCCGGAGCTCTTCTGCATCTTTCCCCTTATGGAGACAGTACCCACTGGTGAAGGATGGGGTTTTTGGTCTACACGTGGGCTTCGAGTTCCAAGAAGTGGATGCAGTCTTTCTATCTAGGGCTTGTTGGGGAACCTAACCCTTATGAATATGGGAATGGCCGGCACTTCTTGGGAACGACAACCTTCCTCACAAACATACATGAGGACGCAGAGTGAACCCTCTCTGGATTGGCCACGCAGCAGCAAACCCACTTGGGTCGGAGGGCATGGGGATCTCATCAGCTTAGAAACTCAGAACAGGAAGATCCCAAATTCTGAAATCATTTTCCCTTTTGTTGCAGCAATAAAAGCCACTCATTTATTTATTCAACAGAATCCTACTAAGCACCGCCTACTGCACTCTCCTTTGTGACACAGCAATTAAAAAGGTGCAGCACATTGCGATAAGCCTTGAAGTGATGAGTGCTGCTATTTTCCTGACTGTTTAAATCCCTGGAAATGCCAACAATCATTCTCACCTGAGAATTCCTGTAGGCTAAAGCTGCTCAGGGCCTGATAAATGTTCTTCCTGCCTTCACACCTGAATGATGACCAATGGCCAGGTGAGCACCAGGGTGGGCGGAGGGGACCCTGAGTTAGGTGGGAGTTGCTGGAGTGTGTAACTGCTCCAGCAAGCAAGGCTTTTCATTGTATTCAACACTATAGAACTGCTATCACTCCTAATGTTTTTCCCTGTAAGAAAAATGTAAAAGTG